AAATCTAGAATAGCAAAGCATTCATGGACAAAGGGAGGAATCACAATCCAAGAAGTCAAGCTGTATTACAAAGTTACAGTGATTAAAAACAGCATGGTACTGTGACAAAACCAGACACGTGGACCAGTAAAACAAAATGGAGGATACACAAACAACTCCAGACACAGTTAGTCACCTGATCTTTGACAAACGGGTCACAAACATATGATGGAAAGCACAGCCTAGTTAACAAATGATGGTGGGAAAACTGGCTATAAATATGCAAAAGACTGAAGCTAAACCCACACCTCTCACCATGTACTAAAATTAAATCAAAATCAATCAAAGACCTAGATATCAAAACAGGAAGTTAACCTGCTGGTAGATAAGATAGAGATAATTATTGAAGATATAGGCAGAGACAAGAATTCTCTGAATAGAACCCTAACTGTGCAAAAAATACATTACAAATCAACAAATGGAATATATCAAATTTTAAAAATTCTTTACAGCAAAGGAAACAACTAACAAAGTGAAAAGACAACCTACAGAATGGGAAAAAAACTTTTGACATCTACTCCTTAGAAATCTAACATTTAGAATATATAAGGAACTCAAAAAAATTAGAGTCTTCCTAAAATAAAAGACCTAATCAAAAAAATACAGGCAACTAGGGGCTGGGGATTTAGCTCAGCAGCATAAGCACCTGCCTTTCAAGCAGGCAGTCGTGAGTTTGATCCCCAGTACCGATAAAAAAACGAAAAAGACAAAAAAAAAAAAAAATACAGGCAACTAAAAGCAGACAGCTGGGCATGGTGGCACACATCTGTCACCCCGCACTCAGGAGGCTGAGGCAGAAACAGTGCCATGAGTTCAAAGTCAGCCCGGGCCACAGAGTGAGACCCTATCTCAAAAAAGAAGGGTAATCTTGAGTCATTTGTAGGAAACTGGATGCACCTTGAGATCACAACATTAAGTGAAATAAATCAAACACATACCTTTAAATATCCTACTTTTCTCTGGTATGAGAAACCTAAAACATAAATAAGAGCAAAATAAAAGATAGATAATAAAAGGAAATATGAGGCAGAGAGACAGACCTTTGCAAATAAGACGGGAATCAAGAGAGGGAGGGAGGGGAGAGAAAAGTTAGGGAAAGAGATGCAAATACAATTAAGATGCATTATGTACATGTACCCACCCCCCATGAGGAAGACAATCATTAAGTTTTGCAAACATGTACTACTAAAAATTTTAAAAAGGAATTTAAAAGAAAAAATCACAAAACTTATTTTTTAAAAAGCAAATATAAATTAAAAATAAATTACTGAAATAAATCTATTACCTAGCTATGATATGCCACAAAAAGAGGCTCTTTTCCAGTAACCCACACTGCATCCTAGTGGGATATGCATGAGGGACGTGTGATTCACAGCATAAAACTGCCCAACCAAACCCTGTCCAGAAACAGCGCTGCCAGTACTGCTGCTCTCAGACTGCAGCAGCAGGGTGGACCATGGCCAGCACAAATCACAAGCACCTTGTTACATCTGAGTTCCTGAGAATGGCATCGGAACTCCGGCAGGGCAGAGGGCTAAGCAGCACTCAATCAGCCCTAAAGACAGAAACACTCAGCGAAACTGACAAGACCTTTCAGCCAGTATGACTATGCCTGAATCCTGACTTAAGAAAACAAAGTAATAAAAAAAACAGAAAATACAAGACACAATTAGCAATCTGTACACAAACAGATGGTGATAATAAGAGACTCCATTTTTCACGGGTGCCATTGACACTCTGCTTCCTTACGGCCCTTATTTTCTGGATGCCCACGAACCATTTACCACACAAAATTAACTGGCAGCTGCTTTCAAGTCTGCAGAACAGGCTGTGAAATGAGGGTTGAGGCAGGGACAGACTCAATCACACACTCGGGGCTTTATTTTACTCTTTTTATGGTTCAGTAAATACTTGAAATTCTCCGTAACTAAAACCCAGAGTAGAAAACAGAAACGCCGGCACCCACCACACTCGGCAGACTTCTGCTCTCTCCCCTGATCCACAGGGGCACCTGGGCTCTGTGCCCTGGGCAAGGAAAGGTGTGGGGAAAAGTTTCAGTGAAACTAGTTACTTTTAAGTTTCATTCTAATGCTGAAAATTGTGCAAGTTTGTGAAAGGACAAGGAGAGTAAAAAAGAAAAAAAGATAAAACTTAGACAGTGTACCTAATGTTCAAACCAGTCAACAGAATTGGCAGAAGCTATTTTATCCTTCTTTTACATTCCTGTCTGGGGGGCTGGGGGTTTAGCTCAGCAGCGTAAGCACCTGCCTTGCAAGCAGGCAGTCGTGAGTTCGATCCCTGGTACCGATAAAAAGGAAAAAAGACCAAAAAAAAAAAAAAAAAAAAAACATTCCTGTCTTCCTCAAAACATGTACAATGGAACACGCAATCTGCATGTTCTTCATAGGCAGCAACAAATTAATGTTTAACTTGTAAGTTAAAGCTTCCCTTTTATTTATATTTCTTTAATCTAGCAGGAAACAGCTAGAAAATGTTTAATCTTTTATTTTCAGGCTGTCTGTCCTATGAGAACAATGAAATGTGTCTTTTCAAAAGTTTCTTCATATATCAAGTCTTACATTCATCATTCATTTCCCAGGAATTATGCTTCCCAAAGCCCTCAATACCACCCAGGGCATCCTCATTCTTGGGGTGACACTTAATGTGTTCAGAACCAACCACCTTCCTGGGAAGCTGAGTCATTGCCAGGAAAATGAAGCTGTCACCTTCCTGGCACAGCAGTCAAGCAAGTACAGTAGTAGGCAACTGTGAGCGGACACCGAAGAAAGTGGCCTGAGTTCCTGGTCTTTTTACACCCTGCCCTTCCGCCTCCTGACGGATGGAAGGAACTGAATCCACACATTTCATTAAAAACTACCTCAGAGTTATGCAGGGCCATGTCTTACACAAGGTGGGCATGAAATTATGTAATTTTAACTCTACTCTGAAGATGCAAATCTCAAGAATTCTGAATACACAGCTGTGCCAGTACAGGTTTAGGAGAGAATTTAGGGCCCAGCAGGGAGCCCAGGACTTAGGTATAGGGCCCTGCTTCCTCTTTTGAGGAGACCCCTATGAGTAAAACAGAACAAATATCCCTTTCTCTAGTTCCCTAACCTAAATCACAGCTGCAGGGTCCCTCTGCCATGTGAGATCCCTGAGATTAGAGAGACACAAATGTGAGATTATTATTCTCCCCATCACTTCTTTAAAGAATCAGATTCCAGCCCTAGTGCTGGAAAGTGAGATTCACTATTAGGAACCCCTGACCACTCGGTTTTCTGTCAAGGCTGTGGAAAGATGGCATGTCTCTACACTGAGAAAGCTCCTCTCCTTACAACTGCTGGTAAAGGATGGATGAAAGGCACTGTATAGTACAGGTTCCAAAAGGGAAATAAATATTTAGCTTTAGGTGTGCTGCACTATTGAAGGCACACAAGCCTGTTGTATGTGACATCTGGTACTGGCATGCAAGTGACTTTTCAAATGAGTCACAAAACTTGCTCTGCTTGGGACAGCACGCCCATCAAGTCACAAGGCATTCTGGGTACAATCTTCCCCTCTCGGCCTCTGGATTCTCCACATGAGAACAAGATGGAGGGGTACTCTGCCTTCTTGCAGTCAGTTATGACATCCTATGCTGTGTTAAGGCGAAGGATCAGAGGGGCATGGATCCGACCAGGGGAAGCCTGGGGACAGGGAGAGGGCACAAAGCCATGTGAGAAGTAGGTGCCATTTATTGCAGCAGAGATGGGAAATCACAGCTCTTTTGCCTGCACAGTATCTGTGAGCTACTTAAAAAGCTCTGCTTTCCAGGGAGGACAGGCAACACACAGCAGCACCAACTCTGACATAATTTAAACCCAAACTGCACCAGAAAGAGAACAGACAGAGGAGAGGAGAAAAGATAAAAACACATCAAAAACAGACACTACTGTTCACCTTTCTAGTAAAAAGGATACCAATTGGTCCAGACAATTCATCAGAGCAAGGCGGACCCACTTTCTACAAAGCCTGAAACTGCCACAGTTCATTTCACTCTACAAACAGATGCACACAGCAATGGAGGAGGGAACCTATCAGTAGGAGAAAAATAATGATCGAATATAAAAATATAGGGCCACCAATTCTCCTCGGTAGGATTCCAGCTCCTCGGTAGCCCCAAAAGTAAAGCAACTGGAAAAATATTTCTCCAAGCATCTGCTGATAAACATAATCTTGGGTTCAGTCATTAGAAGGAAAAAACAAAGAAGGGCCTGATCCTCCCACATACGAGAAGCCTATAAGCCTACAGGTTCACATACAGAACACCACATCAGAAGAAACCTTTATAACACTGAAGGCAAAACTAGGAAAAAGAATTTTTTATTTTCTGAGCTGCCAAACATCAAGGAGTTGCATGTGTTAATAAGAACCTGCTAAGTGTGTAACTGTCCCGTCCTGGCTACAGAAGCAGACTATGCAGATTCTACATGTGTACTCCAGGTAAAGGAGTCAGCCTGACCTACCAAAGCACAAGTGGTGCACATTTAACAAGGATGTGGGACAGATACACTAATGAGGAGGCTAAAAGAATATGACCTGCATATAAAGCACATACACAGTCAGCAACTGACTGCCTTCTCAAATGCCATGTCTCTGTGACAGGACAGAGCCAAGCAGCAGACAGAACCAGAACTTCTGGTTCTCATACAGCATCAGCACAATGAAAAAGAAGGCAAAGATGAATTACTACTTCACCCAAATTCCACTGCAGAAATTCTAATCATGAATTATTTCCCATTACAAAATGTGCAGAGTTGTTTAACATACTAAAAATACTGTCAAAAACCAATAATCTTCATTTGGCGAAATGAGAGCTGCTTAGATAACATTAAAGTGGCTTTTATTTCACCAAAGAAGAAACCAGTTTGTGTGTTGATTTGATAAGACTTTACTTCCAAAAGTTGTTAACCACTAACCTGTAAAGGAACGGCGTTTTATGTTCAGCTCATTTGCCACGCGAACCTCAGTACAGAGTTTCAGCATCAGTAACATGGTCAGGATCATGATAATGCTCTGCCACAGGAGGGGTGACTCAAAGTGCCTTCCAAACCTGGAAGAGTGAAGAGATCACATGTCAGAAAGGAAGCTGGACACCAGCCTCTACCAACATATCCACAGGAACCACTCCCCGGCCAGGTCCTAAGTGATGACCAGGGAAAGAGCCCCAGGAGGGTCTCTGGCACCTTCTGTGGCCGTGGCCATGGCCATGACCTTTCATCAACACGGGGTGGAAGCAGCATAACAGGAGCATAGCTCAGACAAGTGCACCTTCAGATCTCATACACTTAAGAGTCAGTTCTGAGTCTGTCAGGAAGAAACTTGCTAAAACCACGCCATAAATTAAAACTGAAAAAGCTGTTCGCAAGACTCAGTGGTGACACTTTTGCCAGCAATTTATAAAGGACAAAAGCGGACACAGCCTGATCTCACAGCCCTCAAACAATGGTCTGAAAGATCTGCTTACACCATAAGGAAAACTATACAGTCAGTGTAGACAATTGACCTCCAACTCATCCAAGCACCGCCAGTCAGCATTGGCAAGCTCACAAATACAATTCACTGCCAGAGTGAATTATCATCCACTGAACCATCTGGAGGCAATCCCGCTCCTCGGATGGGGATTTGTTGGGGCAGGAACTCCCAGCCCAGACCAGCCAGCCCAGGAGGTAAAAAGGTATGGCTTAAAGAATGGCACACTGCCCAGGGAAGTCCCCTCAGTTGGTAACCAGAAAAGTCTCAGATCTTCTCTGGGATGTGGGGAACCAAGACAGAACCCTCAGGCTGCATTATGACCATTCTAAATAGGTCCCTGGGGGCCGAGGCCTCTGTGTGTCCAGGGAGCTCCTGAACCCCAAAGACCAACGCAGCTACAAAGGCCAAAGAAGCACTGGGAACTAATGGGAAAGCAGAGAAGTGAACGATCTAGGTCTAGGTGGTTGCAGGGTCCAGGGCACAAACAAGTGTACCAGGTGCATCCCTAGGAAATGTCACCCAGAATCCTGTGGCCTCATCAGCACTCCTCCCTGTGAGGCCATCAGGAAATACCAGGTGAGGAACCAAGACAGACTGCTGAAAGATTGGGCTGATGAGTCAAACACCAAATCAAAGCCAGGTATAGTGGTGCATGCCTATAATCCTAACAATCAAGAGGCTGAGGCAGGAGGATCACTGCAAGTTCAAAATCAAAAAATGAGTTCAAAGCCAGTCTGAACTACATGGTGAGACCTTGTCTCAAAAAGAAAAAAAAATAAACAAAACAAAACAAAAACCCACCATGTCAAGACAATGTCCATCTGGGAAGAGGTACAGTAGTTGTGAGACGTTTCCAGGCCAAGTCAGGGTGGCCAGGAGCCTTATGTACTTTAACCACAGATAGCTCTGGTCACCATGCTATCATCCACAGGCCTATGTACCTGGCACCCTCCATCTTCAAACCTCTGTCTTTCAGCTGTGAACGGCAGACCCTACCCTAAGATATTGAGAGGACACAAAGCCAGGCCCACAGTGCCTTCTAGGAACTGTTCTTCCCTGGCTACATGGGTGGACAACTCATGCATGTAGAGGTCAGATGGAGCATGGAGCATTGAAGGCACTTAGTGAGGCCCATGGAGATGGCCATTCCAGGAGAAACCATGTAGTCCCTGCCACATCCTGAGCAGGTCAGCATAACAATGAGTTAGTTTTGTATTTTATTTTATGTTTTATTTTATTATTTTATTTACTTTGTATTTTATTTTTATATTTTATATTTTATTTTATGTTTTATTTTATTATTTTATTTATTATTATTTTATTTATTTTTATTTTATTTTATTTTATTTTATTTTGGCAGGGACCTTTCTACCAAATTCACATCTGGTCACAGTGAGCCACTGGCAAACAACATTCCCAGATCATTATGACTTAAGTCACTTTCATTTTTCAAATTGCCAACACAAACAATAAAACTAGGAAAACTATGTTTTTTAAAAAAAAAAAAAGATTGGGGCTTGGGATTTAGCTCAGCGGCATAAGCGCCTGCTTTGCAAACAGGCAGTCATGAATTCGATCCCCAGTACCAATTAAAAATAAAAGGTTGTACTCTCCATATGCCACATCAAAAGTCAGATCCAGATGAAGTGGACACTTACAGTGAGGAGACTGTTTAACGTGAAATGAGAGAGCACAGCTACATACTTAGCTGATTTAAGGTGAAGACAAACTAGGTCACAAAATTTCAAAGAGTACAACTTTCCACAAAAATACACAAGGGACAAAGCAAACAAAATAAAGTTTAACTTCATGCATTTAAAATGTAATTTAAATAGAAAGGTGCCACTTAGTAACAGTCTGGTTGGTAAGACAGTGGGAAAGCTTACCACTCCTGCCTGAGACTGGGTTAGCACAACTCCTGTGAGGGCAAGCAGCGGCCCTCCCCACACAGGGCACACCTGCTCCACACAGCAACTCAAGCAAGATTTCCCACCCAAGTGAGCACACACAGTGATGGGGGGTGGAGTTTTACAGAGGACAATTTCCCTCTGTCCCAGGCCACAGTCCTATGGCACTGGGGATATACAAGATGGCAGAAACGTGAATCTTTATGTAGCAGCTGCAATTCTCACCATTTCCTGTCCTTCATATGAACGCACGGTGGAGGAAAGCAGAATCACCTTCAACCCATAGGAAAGGAGAAGAAAGGAATCTTGAAAACTTTTAAAACTGTAGTTAAACAAAATGAGGATCTCTAACCCCTTCCTCAGAATTAGCTTGGCCCAGAGATAAACCTTGAGGTGAAGTTTTCCAGTGCTGCCACAGTGGCCAAATCACCCTACCTCCGAGTTCAGTTCTCCCCAGAAAGGGACGGTCAACTCACTAGTTCACCTTCTAAAAATTCCAAGCAGGAGCAGAACACCCTCCCAAGGGCACTGCAGATCCATGGCTGCCTGGGCCTGGACTGGCATAGCATAAAAGAAGCAGAGAACTATTGACTCATAAACTCGAAGCAGACATATTCAAGGTTTGACGAACTGTACACTTAAAATGGGTGCATTTTAAGGCAGCAAGATTGAAACACTAATAAAAACACTGACACATGACTACTCAGTGACCACTGAGTCAAAAAATAGAGCTCTGACAACAGCTGCCTGGGGCCTTTCTTCCTGGCTGACCATCTTCTTAAGAACTACAAGGCTTTCCTAGCCCAAGAGACCTTGGGACCGCCCAGAAGAAAGCAGAAGTTCAGACTTTTTGACTGATGATGTGGCTACGATTATCTCTTTTCATTTCCCCTGAAAATTTATCCTCCATATTGTATCTGGCTTCAACTATTACAGCTAATTTCAGAGTTAGGATGTAGTTCAGTGGTAGAGTACTTACTATGCCCTGGGTTCAATCCCCAGTACCATTTTAAAAAAAAAAAGAAAAGAAAAGAAAACGGAAATGACTTAGATTTCCTTAACAAAATGTAAATAACATTAAGAGGAAATTGGCTCAAGAGGAACAAGAAAAAAATAGTCTTTGCTACAGTACTAAACAGAAAATGTAATGTGACTTAAAAAACAAAACCACACAAGAAGCAGTGAGAAAGGCAGGCTGGGCACCCCCCTCCACTGACTTCCCAGGAGATACTCTGCCACCCTTGCGCACGCCTTGGTGTTCTCACTCCTTAATCCCCACTAGAAACTATAGGGCAGGGACAGAGTCCCAGGACAATGCCCACAAAGAGGCCACAGTAAGTACCAGATGCCGGGGAGCAGAGGATTACATACAGGCAGATCTGGAAATTAAACCACCTTTCCCAGAGAACTCAACATGCCAAACACTTCAGTGACTTTTCTGGGGTCCGCAAGACTGGCTAGCCAGCAGCAACCTAGTGGCCAGTCACCTAAGGTGATGAGCAGATCCTCTGGAGGAAGGAAACACCCACCCCAACCCTCATTCTTCCCAAAATTCTAGAGGAGAAAGCCATCTCTCGAAGAGGGGCCCCAGGTAGGAAAGTCCCCAACTTACCAGAAGAGAATCCGTAAGATATTAGCCACCAGTAGCACCAGACACACATGAGTGGAGAACCCGTCCGCATTCTGTGTCCTCCGGATATCCCTGTACTGCGGGATGTACGGCACCACCCCTCCAAAGACTATGGCCCCGGAGGCCCCCCAGGAAACCAGCTGGTGCAGCGGGACCAGAAGCCAACCCAAGCCTTTCGCTTCCATGCCGAGATCCGGGCCGCCCCGCAGGCTGGCTGGCGTTCACCTGGCCCCGGCCTGGGCGCTCACTGGCTCCGGATCCTCAAACTGACAGTCACCTCCACATTGCAGCCGCGAGCCGAAGCAATTCTCCACCATCCGAGGCTGGCAAGGGAAAGCAACAGTAAAGAAGTCCAGGAGGGGCAACAGCGAAAGTAGTGGTCCGGACCCCAGCCCCGGAGGCCGAGGCCAACCTCCTCCGGGACTGCGCGCCCAGCCTTTCGCCCCGACAGCCTCGGGCAAGAGCGGGGTGCACTGGCCGGCGGGGGAGAGCGGGAGGAGCCGACGGCCCGGGCTGGGAGGGAGCGCGCCCGGAGGGCGGGGCCTGCGGAGCGCGTGGGGGAGGGGCCCGCGGCGCGGCGGGGGCGCCGTGACCGGAGACCGCGACCCCAAGACCTCCGCGTCCGCGGCGTCCCGGGGCGGCTCTGCGCAGGCCCGGAGGAGGAGCGAGGCCCAGCGGCGGGCAAGCCCGATCCCGACGCGTGCACACGCTCGTACCGAAGCACAGCCGACCGCGTCCGCCAGCCCGTCCCCGCGCGGAGCCCCGCCCCGTGACGTCACAATGGCGAGCCGGCCACTCAGGCGCGCTGGGCGGAGCCACGGGGTCTTAGCGCGCTTCTGGGAAGCCCGGATTGAGGTGTCCCCACCTAGAGTGCGGTGCGGAAGGAGCGACCGGGATTCCGGGCTCTGCCCAGGCAGCGGGCTTACGCAATACCTGCTTGGCTGCGGCGCCTTCGGGCCAGGTGCCTAAGTGGATCTGTCCTCAGCACCCCGGGCACGCGAGAGACCTTTTGGTGTGGCCTAGGTGGCTGGAGCGCTGTCCCAGTGTCACCGTGGCCTGAGACGCTAGCCCTGCGGTGACCCGGGAGGCTCCCGCCCGAGGGCAGAGGGATTCACCTGCAGGAAGCAGACACCCACTCGCGCGTCTCGATTCCAAAGCCATTCACCAAGCCCCGCTGTCCGCAGGCCGTCATTGAAGTTAACGCGTGGCAAACACATTTATTGACCGTCGCTGGACTGTGCCTGCATTGGCATCAGCACTCCACAATTTATGAGTCCTTCTCCACCCTTCAGTTATGTGAGGTACACCATAGGTGTACATTTGCAGAAGAACAGAGGAATTCCTAATAGTATCACCTGATCTCCTCCGGATGGACGTTGGTTACCCGGCAGTAGTGCAGTCAGAGGAGCCAGCAGCACAGAGGACAATTACAAGCCCACCGGAAGCTTCCCCAACACCATCCCTGATTCTGGAGCAAGTCCTGCGGCCTCCCCAGAGGACACCCTGCTCTGCATGCCATCCCTGGGCCTGGGCTCCCTCGGCCCATACACTGCCTCTGAAGCTTCCCTGTGAGATCAAGACGGCGAGAAATCTTTCATCTGAAAGGAAGTAACTTTGCTTTCCACCCTCTTTCATTTCCAAGCAGTTCTAAACACAGACTGATGTCCGGGGACATGCTTTGGAGGCATATTTCAATGCAGCAGCATCATGCTAGAGATACCTCTAGGAAATTATGGTACACAAAATAGCCAAACCGAACAGTTATACACACTAATTCCATTTCTATAACATCTTTGACCTGCCAACCTTTAAGAATGGGGAAAAGATCAGTGGTTGCCAAGGGTTCGTGCTGAAGATGGTGTGGGAGGAAGCTGTTTGGGCCATAAAGGGCAAAGCCAGGTTCCCTAAAGTGATGGAATATTCTGCTGTTATCTTAACTGTGATGATGGATACACAAGCCTACACATGTGATGAAATTACATGAAACTAAACATGTAAGTACAAGAAAACCAGGCAACACGAACAAGATGGGTGATTGCATGGAAGGCTCCTCCTCCTCATCATGTAGTGGTAGACTTCTGCAAAATATTACTGTGGGGAAACTTGCTGAGGAGACACATAATATCTTTTATTTTTGCAATTTTTAAATAACTGCATGTGGATCTACAGTTAGCCCAAAGCCGCCAACAACTTGTTAAGTAGCATACTACTAAACTGCCATCCCACAGTGCAGAAACTTGTCAGTCCCTCATGCACCACACAGATGCTGCTGAGAAACAGCCATAATTCATTTATACTTAGTTGTTACCATCTAAAATTTTTAATAACTTCTGTCGATAAGATCACCTAAGAATGAAATAGTGGCCGTCTCACTCTCACTGGGCTTACTCACCCTCACCAAGAGCAAACATGCTACAGAGGCAGAAGTGTGTGCATGAAATAAACTGCCAGGCAGCAGTTCCTCGCTTTCTTTTTTTTTTTTTTTTTTTTTTTTTTTTTTTTTTAATTTTATTTAAGGAGAAAAGAAAAAAAAGCAGAGAAAGGGTACAAGTTATACAGATTTACAGAAAAAAAATGAATAGTAGGAAATTACTAGTTAATGGATTACATATTGTCATCTTAGAAATAATTGTTCAAGTCACAAAATTAAAGCTTGTAAAGTGGACATTCCATCAATGATACTGCAAACAGTTCTGTTCAATGATTCAATAAAACTCTGTGATATCATTTTCTATCTTATACACTTAAATATACATGCAGTTATATAGTATAGAGCACTTTCTTTTCCTCTCTTTTGTACAATGACTATTACACATTTTGGGTTTCATTGCTCCCATGGTTCTTACTACTTTTTTGGAAGAGAGTAAAACCAAATGTGACATAACAGAACAGAATTGGTCAAGTCAAAAGGGTGGACATAATAGATAATGTGAAAACATAATACAAGGTGATCAACAATGGTTACCATAATGCCTCCCGCTATCTCTAATAGAATTGCCTATATCGTTAGTTACAATACAATTGAACAAAACAGTAAAGAATAAAACCGACAAAACCAAAACATTGGAGACATTGTAGGTCTTCAAAAATAGATAAAAGTCAATGAGAATGGGCGTTATAATGAATCTCATTATCTTCACAGCTGATGCCTAAATTTTCGAACCTGATACTATCCAGCAAAACAGAGTAGGAGAACATCAGTTAAAAACCAGATGGTGAGAGTAATACAGGGCTTTAAATCGAGGTAATGGAAAGTCAAAGTGGGTTACTATAATATATCCTGCTATTTTTTTCCTTTAATTAAAAGGATAAAAATAAAAAAGTAAATAATGGAGTGGAGATTGAGATAAAAGAGGGCATAACAACGAAACAGCACAGATCAAAACATAACCATTTAAGCAGAATAGTGTTTCACCACCAGATAATCCTGACCTAAAAGGAGTTACCATATTATCTCTTTCCTTGAAATCCTTGAGTACAACTTCGTATACTGTAGCGTTAAGTATATCAAAACAATGTAAAACCATTTAAGAGAATGACAGCATTACAGAGTATTTAGAATCGACTAACAGAAAATGAACAATGGTTTCTGTATAATCTCCTTGTCTTTAAAAGGTTTTTGCTTATACTATCGTACATAATAAAATCCAGTAAGATACAACCTATTTGGACCATTGGAGACAGAAGGACAAAAGCTAGATGAGACTTCAAAACAAGATGATACTAAATCAGTATTACCTATTAAGATGTCATTTTCTCCAAAATAGCTGTTCCTATCATCCAATCTTCTCTGCCTCATTTCTGTTGAGCTCTTATTCTGTCAGTAGCTGTCAGTTTGTCTTCTTCACTTTGTTCTCTGCTCCATTCGTTGTGGCCTCCATTATTTCTGGATTCTTTGTATTTTTCTTTTTTTAGAATATCCTGCAATACTCTCTGTAGAGTTGAATTGGTGGTTGCAAATTCCCCCAGTTCCTCTTTATCCTGGAAGCACCTTGTTTTTCCATCAATTTCCAGGGACAGTTGTGCAGGATATCTCAATCTTGGCTGGAGATTATTATCTTTCAAAGCTTGAATTATTTCCCCCCAAGCTCTTTGTGATTTAATGGTTTGTGCAGAGAAATCTGTCTGCTGTAATTCTGATGGGTGCTCCCTTGTAAGTGGTCTGTTTCTTGTCTCTGACAGCTTTTAATATTCTGTTCTTGTATTGAATTTCTGGAATTTTTATTATTATATGCCTGGGTGTTGCTCTGTTTGGGTTGTAGGTAGCTGGGGTCCTGTATGCCTCATACATCTGAGTATCTTTACCTTTTTCTAAATTAGGAAAATTCTCCTGGATTATTTCTGTGAGTAGCTTTTGTAGTTCATTTGTTTGTGTCCCTACTTCTTCTTTTATGTTCTTAATCCTTAAATTATGGATCCTCTTATCATCTTCTTGTCTTTGTATTATTGCTGTTTGTTTCTTTGTTATTTTTAAGAAGTTTTTCATTTCATTCTCCCATATTACAATTCTGCCCTCCAGTTCAGATAGTCTGTCCTTAGTTTCTTTCAAGCTGTTATGCCAGTCTTCGATAGACTTCTTAGTTTCTTGGTAGTCCCTTTGAACCTGCTTCACGTATTCTATGCTTTCCCTGTTTTCTCCATCAAACACTTCTCCCCTCTTTTTCTGTTCTTCCATTCCACCATCTGTTTTTTCTTGGATGGTGCTTAGCATTTCTCTAACTATTTTGCATACTTCTAGCTTCAGGTCGTTGATAACTTCATTCCTGAATTGGTCTATGAGGCTCTCTATATGGCGCCTTATGTGTAATGGTGCGGTGTCTGCTATTGCCTGTTTCTCAGAATTGGGGGCCGAGGAGCCTTTCTTGTTGCTGCCTCTTCCCATATTCTCTGTTCCTTATATATGCAAGCTTATATGAGAGGCCCAGCTTCTCTCTCTGTCAGCCACAGCCTGATCGAATTGCGCCGATTAGGTGTTCCCACTCACTGCTGCACACCAGGCAGCCTACGTGGGGCCCGCCCCTCCCGGCCTCCGTCGGGCTCTGGGATCTGGGTTGGGCCAGCCTACGGGATCCGCCAGCAGCGTCACGCAGGCCAGGCACTTTTCACCAATCCCGCCCGAGAGGGGAATGTGTGGCTGGAGTCGCCACCGCACCCTGCTCCCGCAGGACTGCCTGGGCCCAGAAAGTCTGCTGGAGTCAAACTGTGGTGGAGTGTCAGTTTCTCTCACTCACCTGGCCACAAGTCAGAACATGCCTCCCTGCCCGTCCTGTTTTTGACTCCGTTCACAGACTCCGGTTCTCAGAGTTTCCGTGCGTCTCTCTCCTTGCCGAGCCGATGTAGAGGCAGCCAGCCACCGCGCGGCGGGAAACCCAAATGGCGTGGTGTCCAGCCTCAGCAGCGAGGCTTTTCTGTTCCTGTTTTAGCACCAGGACTGCATTCCAAGTTGGTTTCTCTCAGCCGAGTTCGTTCCTGAGTCAGCAGAGCATAACTCCACCTGCTTATGTCTCTTTAGTCCGCACCATACCTGGCTTCTGAGCCTAGTTTCAGAGAGCCTCCGGTAGTTGCTGTTATCTGTCCGCCATGTTCTCCCGGAAGTCTAGTTCCTCGCTTTCATAGAACTTACATTAA